GAACCCCGGCTCGCAGACCATGCTAAAATGGCGACGAAAGATGGTTTATTTTTAATGGCGGATGTGACCGACGGAGGAAAGCGTTCTTTTTTTTTCAGTTTCAGACGACCATGGTCTCGGCTAATTTAAAAATAAAGCTCTAGGTTTCTAAAACTAAAGAATGTCTGATAGACATTCTTTAAATTTGAATTATTCGAGCAACGTTCAGTAACTCTTGAAATTGTTCAATTAATTCGTTTATATGTAGTACGTAAGATAATAGAAATTTCTAGCCAAAGTTTAATTTTATAGTATTGTTAAAAGAAAGACCTTCTTTTAAAAAATAGTCAAGAACTGCATTTTCTAAAATATATCTACTGAAAATTATATATAATAAAACTACCCCTTTCGATTCGAAATTTTTGGTTTGTACAATCACGTACGCTTCTTTAATTATTCAAATGCTCGAACATTTCAATCAAAGATGTTCGAAATGACGTCGAGACAGTCGAAAACGTCATTTTCAAATCAGATTTTTTTTAAACAAGTAAAACGAAACGAGGGCAAAGTTCCGCGCACGCAGAGCAGTTTTAAGACGCGTGGAGTTGTCGATAGATAAGCCTATTGAAAAGAAAGTGGTTTGAAGGTGGTACACGAGTCTCTTTATGCCACTCGATAGCCTATATATTAGGCATCCCGGCGGGAGGGGTGACGGTGTCAATATATATGCAAACGCCGACATAACGATCTATCGGTACGTAAATATATATAAGGGGTGCGAGAGGAGCGCGGGCCGGAGGACGTCGAGGAAAAAGAGGGAGGAAGGGGGTGAGCGGGCGCGGCATCGAGAAAAGGGAGAAGACGAACGGAGAAGAAGCGTGGAAGAAAGAGGAAAGTCGAAGCTTAATATAAAACTTCATTTCGCAATCGGTGGCAGCCGGAGGAAAACGGAGAGAACTGACAGACAGAAATTCCAGTACCGTAAAAAGGGGCCTCGCCTGGAATCTCCCATTTTTCTAGTATTAAGCTTGCCCGAGATAAGATAAGCGCGAACGTTCGTGGATTCGAGCACGCGGCGTTGCTGCAAAAAAAGTGGAAATTTCTCGGTTAGAAGAAAACGGCACCGCGACCGGTGGAAAATTCTTTCGATCTATGCTTTCGGAAAACATTGAGAGTAAGATGGATTTTCTTCTTTTTTTTTCCACAACTCTTGCTGAAAAGTAATTGGAATTGCCAACCTATTTTGCAGCTAATAATTTACTAAATCTGCTGTCTTGCAATCTATACGTGCTACTTGCTACGTTCTCTACTATTTATTCGCACTACTTATCATTTCATCTGTTATTGATTCGTATCGCTATACTGCGACGTTTCGTCTAAAATAGAACGTTGAAACATTTAACATGATTTATTTTCAGTAATTTAATGTTGAACTTTAATACAAGTAGCTGTAGTTTCGTAGATTCATCATCCACACCACAGGTATCGAGGATTATCGAGGATACATAATAAATAAAAAAAAAAAACAGAATATAGATATATAGTAAAAGATAGTCTCAAATTAAAGATACTATAGACACATTCGATCAATGCTTGAAAAAGAACAATTCAAATGCAAGAAACACCACGAGTGTGACTCAATGTTACGACACAAAGGAGTTGAAGATGATACCTACAAATAGAAACCAAAAGCCGCGTAAAAATTGCAGAAGATATTACACAAATATACCACTAAAAGCTGGCCACGATAACTAACGTAACAACAACGTTTTCGAAAATATAAAGGTTCGGAAACTGAAGCACCGTTTCACGAACAAGGTAAGCGTTCGATGCACGCAAGAAATCGGAATTTCGAATCGATCTGAAGAAGAAAGATCCTCGTAGATCTCCCGAGGGGGCCACCCCTTGCATCCTCGGTCGTATTCCTCCTTGAAACGAACTTTTCGTCCGTATATTTCGAGCATCCTTCCTATATTCTTTCGGTGTGCGGCAGAAAAGAAGGGGTCGGAGCCGAGCGGAGCACGGTGCGCGCGATGAAACTTTTAATAAATGGCGGAGTCGATATGAAGTATAGGACTTTGACATATCGTGTGTCTGTAATGTATAGTTAAATCTGGCGGCAGATGTGGCGGCAACTCGCCTCCCTCTCGCGCGCTCTCTCGCTCTCGTTCTCCGCTCTGAGCCATCCGCGCCCTCGTTCGCGTTACGACTCGGCTGTCGCCCTTTCAATCTCACTCTTTCTCACTGGCCGACTCTCTCGCTGCGCCAAAAATTTTCGATTCTAGCCCGCTGCCACGTTCCGATACATATCCCGAGCATAGATCACAGATTTTTAGGGTAAATGCATAGAGCGTAGATCTTGCGAAAACTTTGGAGGAGACCAGCAGAATGAAACTTTTCTCGTATTTGCGGGATTCGTGGTTTAACCACTCGCGCTGGCAGCTAATTGGCGGACCATAACGAGCGACCAAACGCTCGCTTTCTTTTCGAACTCGTCGGTATGACATCACTGGATAGAAATGATCGAGAAGTAATAAGTTTATTATTTGTTTCGCCTGGGTTTCTATTTAAATATACTTGAAACTGAGAGAATATTCCAATTTTGGGACAAAAAATTCTCGAAGTGCGAGACACGTCACTCCAGCACAAGAGGTTAATGTTCCCGTAATATCTCGAAAACTAGTTCTGATTAATCTTTTTTGAATCTTCGAAGTGAAGAATATTCTGTTTTACGTGTGATTCTTAAATGGAAGGAGCCCGTAAGATAATTTTAGTAGAATACTCTATAATAATTTTAGTAAAATGATCTATTACTAATCGAATAATCTACTAGTATTTTATTGAGACAGACTGAAATCCACTAACATTCATTTTGCTTGTAACAGAGAATTTGGTCACTCTCCAAAATTAGGTTAAAAGGGGTAGAAACTTTTTCTTGCTATCATCTATCATTTTCTTTCGCGTAGGAAAAGGCTTCCCATAGCTACCTAAATTTGTAATACATTTCGCTCCACTGCGAGAGAATATTATTCCATCGTATCTTTAATGCACCAGAGGCAAAGAAAGGAGGAAGTAAAAAGCGATTCATCTACATTCTGGGGTGCATCGTGCAACGAGGGTAGTGACATGAATTTTTTTTTTCTTTTTTTTTTTGCCCGGGCAAAACGGTGGCAAAGTTTTCGATCAAACGGGCTGTCTAAATGAGAGCTCCTCCACAAAGCGGATCAGGGTAATCTGTCATCAAAACTGCCCCATGGCAAGTCGCCGTAACACCAGCCGGCGCCCCCAGCGGCCGGAAACCGTAGTGGCAACGCGTCACATCCACACGTCCCATCCCTGAATCTACTATCGAATTTACTACCCTCGTAAAATTCCCAACGATTTTCTCGGAACTTTGCGCCGATCGGGGCACTGTTTTGATCGCGTTAAATCGTCCGGTGCTCGCGTTTTGAGTTCCGATGGATTCTTTCCTGCGAACTTTGACCATGTTTTATTCAAAGCGTATCGCGGAACGATTCGCAGGAACCATGCAGAAATGCAAACAAAGTAGTCTACATCAATGTTCTAAACGCCAGAACCGAAACAAAAACAAAAAAGAAAAAAGACTCTTGCTATTCAAACCACATTCGACTCTCCGAAAAAGAAGAAACGCGTCTCGAAGAAAAGCATACTACAAAGAAACATTCCACGATCTCTGCCACTCGCGATACTCATGCGAGGAATCTATTTCACGGAACGGAACGGAACGGAAGAAAACTCGGTGGTCGTCCATCCGAAAGGATCTTTACCTTCTCCTCGGCTGTTCCCCCGAAGGAAGTGGAAGAACCGCGTGGCCGAGCACGTGAGAATTTCCCCTCCACGTGGCTGATCGTCGGAAGCGGCGCGCTCGCGCGTCCCGCCCATAGTTGCGCCGGAATCCATGACCGCCTCCGTTGGCCTCGTGGTTGTGGCAGCGAACAGGAGAGAGTCTGCTGGTCGCACTGCCGCGCCGAGGCGAGAGGCACACAGAGCTCTACTCGGCTACGCGGGTGCCTGTGTTCGTCGTACCCTCTGACGGGTTCCGTGCCCTCGGAACCTCGATACGACCAGCCCGCCTACGACGCCGGAGGGTTGTGCCTCCACCGTTGCGATACCGCCTCCCCATTGGTCGACTCGTTCTACTAGCACCCGATCACGTGACTTAGCCGCAGCACGGTTGCACGCAGCAGCGCGAGAGAGAGCCGACCGCGCGACGAAAGCGGAGTGACGCTGAAGAACCAACTCGGCAACCAACCGACCAGGCCCCCCTACTCGACGGAGAAAACGAGACAGCAGTAACAACAGAGACACGCCACGGAGAACATTGCAGAAGCGAAAAAGACCGCGGTGGAATTCGTCAGCGTGCCGCTGTTGGCCTCGAGTGGAAGTCACCAGGCGAGAGAGCCTCTCTCTTCTTCGTCCCCGAGAGTTTCCTCTCTCCTCTCCACCCCCTGCTGCACCCAGTGTTTCCGCCACCATCGTGCTCGATCCTCGAACGCTCGATCCCTTCCCACCTTCTCTTCCAACCTCTTTCTTCTCTCTCTCTCTCTCTCTCTCTCTCTCTCTCTCTCTCTCTCTCTCTCTCTCTCTCTCTGTTCGTTCTCTCTCTGTCGTCGTCCGTTTCACTTTGATCGTTTCTCTCTCAACTATAGTTCACATCTCCGGCGTCGCCCTTCTCGTACCACCTCCACCTCCACCTCCTCCTCCACCACGTCACTCCATGGCAAGTGTACATCGCGATCGCTGGCTCGCCTGCCTAGCCAGCCAGCCAGCCTGCCTGGGTTCCGGCCGATCGGAACGCTCCTGGTAGCCGCGGAGTACGCGATCCGGTGCGCGCCACTCTCTCGTGCCGACCTCGTCACCGATCATCCTCGTCGATCCAACGATCTCCTCTGTGAAAGTGTGCTTCCGCGTTTTTCCTTGGTGATCCAACCGCCGTACGGATCGGTTCTGTGATACTCTCGAGATGGTATCTACGCGCTGCGAGTGTTCTGTGCGACGTCGTGCTTCGATCTCCAGTGAACTCGGCGAAGAGATGGCCCGATGAACGAGCCAAGTGGGAACCAGCTGTCGTCTACGGCTCCTGGTCGAAACCCGATATATAATTCTCGTGGAATGAGTGAATTCGCGCGATTATGACTCCGCGGTGTATGAAACTGCAGTGCGAGGGATTCGTTCATGGTGTAGTATCGTTTCTCGTGTTCCAGATGACGGAGCCGCAGCACGATTAAACTCACTTTGGTTCGAGTGAAAACAAGGACCATTCAGATATATTAATCAGTAAGAGAATCAAGCGGAGCCAAACTGAGTTGTCTCCGTTTATACACAGGCGAGAAGGAATTTGAAAACGAGTGTCATCCACCGTTCCATGCGCGACAAGCAACAACTGTTGCCACATCGAGAAGAGGATCGCGAGAATTTCACGCAGCTAGGTGGTCCTGGCAGCGTGCAACCAGCCGGAAGGCAGCTCGAGGCATTGGTCCACGCGGGCAAGGAGATCGCGAGCGTGAAGACGAGGCCGACGACACCCGTCCTGGCGAACGACGGAGGGGGTGGCTTCTGGCTGGCCACGGTGGCAAGTGTTCCGGCCGGGCTGCCCCCGCACGGGACCCATCATCCAGCCATGGACCCGACATGCGGCTCAGCAGAGACAGGCTTCATCAACAGCCAACCCTCCATGGCGGAGTTTATGACCGCATTGCCCCAACTGGCCGGCGATGCTAGCCTTCAGCATTCTCCAGGCACCGGAGGATCCATCAGTCCTGGATCCCATCATCCTGGTTACCACGCCATGATGGATCCTCACGGGGTCGCCGATCCGTCAGTCAACGTGCCCGAATACCCGTGGATGAAGGAGAAGAAGACCACGCGGAAGAGCAACCAGCAAGGTAAGCAAGTGAAAATTGTGAAAGATTTGGAAGGATCTAGTTTGAAAGATAATGATACGAGGTTTTACGAGGAGTTTCTTGCGCGAGGAGGAATGAGAACTGTAACGTCAACTGGGACCTTTGTAAGAGGAATTCGATACTAAATGGCAAACGAGTGGTTCCGAAATTTGATATTGGTAGGTTTCCAAGTATTTATTGGAACGAAACGTGTATTGAAAGTTGAAATGTAGAAATTGTTTTGAAGAAGTAATTCGAATGATTCTAAACGATTGTATTCGACGATGAAAAGATAAATGGATCTAAAAGGCACCCCGCTTGTAAATCGAGAGACATGATTAGTCTTTTTCCGTGTAAGTTACATTATCAATTAGCAGGACCCCACAGGACGATTCAAGGGATCGTTTGGTATATGTTTCGCTGCGAGGGTGAATCGACGAACGTCGATTAACTGTGGCCCATAGCGGTCTACGTGTATTCACCAACGATTACTGTTCTTATTTCATATGGTTTTACAACCTTTCCACGATGCCTTAATAAGTACAAATCCCTCATTCGTCGCGTTGATCCTTCGATCGTTTGATCGTTCGATTTTAACATTTTTTGAACGAGTTACGTTGGAGCAATCAGTGGCTCGTATTTTAAAATAATCGGCCAGCGCTAGCTAATTTCTATAAAACAGATTTTCAGGCAGAGAGGAGTTAATCCACAATTTTATTATCCAAAATTCGGCATCCAAGAATTCGATATACGCTATTTAACATACAGTCTACTATTTGTAGGATTTAGAGAACCACAGTCGGGATTCAAAATATCTTTACGAGTCACTACACGACACCGAGATACAACGGTGTCTTCACGTTGCATCGCTCTCGTCTCATCGCTTAATAAATATTTTTATTCATTTGTATGAATATTCGTGCAATTATATTCACGTCACAAGTGTTCATTTCCAACTCCCCATAAAAGCTCGATGGAGCAACAGGACAATGAAACATAAAATCACCCCTTTTACACATTAACAAACACATCATTCTTCGCAAGGAAACGTTCGTCGAAAAAAAAGATCAGCGAGCCGTCATTCATCAACATCTATCAACCTTCTATTCACTTCGGACAGAACGTTTAATCGTCTACAATCGGTGGGGTATAAATCAATTACCGAGGAGAGAGAGCTCGTAAACACGAGTGCGAATTGTCCTCTAGATCCTGCGTTTGTTACCCCTGACAAAACTCCAATCGAAAACCATTGCATTAAATCGGCGTGTTAAGCTGCGTTTACGTTAAATAAAAGTAACAACGGGCTATCAATATTTTGTACACCAAATATCTTACAACGATTAAAATAAGAATATCACTAACAATAGAATTTCAAGTAACGTAAATGAGTAAATGGAAGAATATGCTCTCGTTGCACTATTTTCTCAAAATTATAAATATCTCGGGTAAATTAAATTCGTGGCAATGAACCACAGTGAAGGATTGATCAATTAGCTCGTTCGATTAAAACTCGTCCAATATAATCTAGGCTTTGCCAACAGCCAGAAAATTATAAACATCAAAATTAGAAATATATCAAAATAAATAAATTATAAATCGGTAAATTAAATGCGTGGCAGTGAACCACAGTGTGAAAGTTCGATCAACTCGTTCGTTCAACTAAAAATCACTTGATATAAACTAGGTTTTGCCAACAGTCAGAAAAGCCACAATCGCAAAACCAAATCAAAATTATAAATATCTCGGGTAAATTAAATGCGTGGCAGTGAACCACAATGAAAAATTGATCAATTAACTCGTTCGATTAAAACCCGTCCAATATAAGCTAGGCTTTGCCAACAGCCAGAAAATTATAAACATCAAAATTAGAAATATATGAAAATAAATAAATTATAAATCGGTAAATTAAATGCGTGGCAGTGAACCACAGTGTGAAAGATTGATCAACTCGTTCAACTAAAAATCACTTGATATAAACTAGGTTTTGCCAACAGTCAGAAATTATAAATTATAAATATCTCGGGTAAATTAAATGCGTGGCAGTGAACCACAATGAAAAATTGATCAATTAACTCGTTCGATTAAAACCCGTCCAATATAAGCTAGGCTTTGCCAACAGCCAGAAAATTATAAACATCAAAATTAGAAATATATGAAAATAAATAAATTATAAATCGGTAAATTAAATGCGTGGCAGTGAACCACAGTGTGAAAGATTGATCAACTCGTTCAACTAAAAATCACTTGATATAAACTAGGTTTTGCCAACAGTCAGAAANNNNAAATTATAAATATCTCGGGTAAATTAAATGCGTGGCAGTGAACCACAATGAAAAATTGATCAATTAACTCGTTCGATTAAAACCCGTCCAATATAAGCTAAGCTTTGCCAACAGCCAGAAAATTATAAACATCAAAATTAGAAATATATCAAAATAAATAAATTATAAATCGGTAAATTAAATGCGTGGCAGTGAACCACAGTGTGAAAGATCGACCAGCTCGTTCGTTCAACTAAAAATCACTTGATATAAACTAGGTTTTGCCAACAGTCAGAAAAGCCACAATCGCAAAACCGAATCAAAATTATAAATATCTCGGGTAAATTAAATGCGTGGCAGTGAACCACAGTGTGAAAGATCAACTCGTTCGTTCAACTAAAAGTCGCCCGATATAAACTAGGTTTTGCCAACAGCCAGAAAAGTCACAATCACAAAGCCAAATCACGGAAATGATTCGTTCGAGGATTCATTGGCTAAATGGTGATGAAGCTACCGCGTACTCCGAGTCAATTAACGCCACGGTTCCGTGTATGCGCGCGTTTCTACGTGGATCGTGTGCACGTAGATCGTCTGTCCGGCGACACCACGTTGTGGCTTGCCACGAGGTGCCCGTTGTCCGACGGCTAATGATAGCCAGCAGCCGCACCTTTTCCTCGACAAGATGGCATCTGGACCTCGTCACGTGCGAAAACCGCGCGTTTCCCAAGCATTCGTAAACATTCGCCGACAAATTATGATGCATCGTCCGGCGGAACGTGAGTTCGCCGCGCGAACAATCGATACACCGATGGCCAACACATGCGGGCCCTTGAAAACCCTTTCAATGAGAACGAATTGTTGTCTTCCGACGTATGTACGAGGACACGAGAACAGTCCACCCTGCGGGGAATCCAAAATTGAAAGAAGAATCCCACGTCTTCGACTGGCTGTTTTTCTGAAATTCGTTCTGGTTTGTGGCAGAGAACCTCTCGGTCAACGTCGATTAGTATTTTCGTTAGGTTGTGCTCAACATTTGTGGATGGTTGGAAAGATGATGACACGCGGTGCCATGGTCACGGTTGTTGAATTTTTCCCAAAGTCGGTAGCCTATTCTCGTTTGTTCTCTGATTGGTTGGCGGCTGAGCGAGATCTTCGCTCCAAGGATTTAACAACGGAGAGAAATTGTCATCGAGGTGGTGTGCGTTAACGCAATTTCCTGCGTCGTTACGGGGCGTTCTTCTTCCAATTGTGCAACCGGAAGTGGTGTAATACCGAAGGATCGCGTTACGAACGCGAGCTTCGATAGCGGTGTAATTGACTCGTCGTCGTGTCATTTTAGTTAATTAATGAAATTGCGAAATGCAGGCGATTATTGTCGTGATTTTTCTACTACAGAGTTTCCTCGTTCACAAACACTCTCATATTTACAATCATCTTAAACGATGACCTGTCATAATGGTACAGATACATGCGTCAATCTTTTCAAATTTGTAATCAATATGTAAAACAATTTCTACGAACTGCAAAATTGAAGTGAAAGAAACAGCAACTTCGGTCCGTGAAAACTTGCAAGCACAGGACAGTCATCGGGAAAGTCTTACAATCTAAATAAACAAGTATATATTTCATCAAACAGTATGATATGTTTGTTAGACGTCACTTTTCACTTCGTCAATTCGATTTTTGAAATTCCACGGCAAAGCATGGCAAATTGAACAGAACTCAACAACATTCAAATCGTAAAGAAACATCCTCGATCGATTGAAAGAAAGAATGGAAAAGTCCTCTGAACGAGAGGAAATTTCGAAATTTCGTCCGCTTGACGCATTGACTGGTATATAAACAGAAGGCAGCGGGATCGCGATCCATTTTCCAGCAACTTGTTGGCTATTGTCGTCCCATCGAGCACCAATAAATCTACGGTGGAGGACCGTGGCGCGGTCGTTGGACGCAAGGTCGCGCGCCGCCGCCACGATCAAAGGGGCGGCCAGTGGTTTATGGGCGAAACCGGGCCAAAACGGGCATCGCGTACTGTTCCCATTTATCCGGAAGGCGGTTGGCACTGTCGTCGGCCTCGGTTATCCGTGGAAAGTCGCGGGCCGATCCGGTCGCGGGACACGTCGGAAGATTAAGTGTTCGGCAGGAAGGTTAACCAGCCGTTGGCCAGGCGGTAACACGCGGAATCATCTGTAAATTGAGCGCAGGGCCAACGGGAGAGAGCGTCGGGACGGCCATAACTCACGTGGCCTGCTCTCTGCCACCGATCCTCTCTTCGTCGTCTCTATCTATCGCTTCTCCCTTTCTCTCTGCCTGTTTGCCTACCCCTTGCCCGTGTTTCGCCTCTCGAACCCTCTCTTATCGTTGGACGCTGGACGACAACCCTTCCCGATCATCCGACCTTCCATCGTGGCAATTTTAAGACGCACAGTGCGTGAAACACACAGACGAAGACAATTACGAGGAGACTGTGAATTTCTGTCCGTTTGCGAGGTCTAGACAGACTGTGAAAAATATTTGCAGTATGAAGAAAATACTGAAAAGTGTAGAATTATTCTGATTGACGTGATTAGACTGCGGTTTTTTATATATTTTCCTATAGGAAGCTTCAAAACGTAAAATTACAATAGGCAAAAATATAGAAAACATTGAGTATTTAGATTTCATTTCTTCAGTTACGTCCATATGAAGATATTACGTTATTACGAAAATCAACTCTACCCTATCGTTTGTTGGAAATTTTAG